TATATTATCGAATAATAGTTACCACATTACGCCGTAAAAATTCACCCTGAAGCCTCTGGTACTGGTTATCATCAGCACCAAAAACTTCCCACACCATTGACTGATTTAGACACGCGTTCATCACACCAGTAATCTCGATCTCGACGCGATTTTACCTGATGTCCTCGCTTCTACTTTGACACCTTTACTCCTCGACCTGAATGCGTTGGGGTTTTTCAAGTTCACTTCTGTTGGTTGCAAGTGTTTTACGGCGCTCGCAACTGCATAATAAGGTCATATGAACGCGCGGGACGCTTTAAATTTTCAGTTATTAGTTATGAGATTTTGAATTTTGCCTACTCTTATCGATTTTATTCACCAAAGGATCTTTAAGTACCGTGCGCAACATGCACACGGGACCTCCGAGATTTTTCGCCCTTGTCCAAGAAGGCTAGGTGTAGATCTTTCCTACCAGAAGATCAGGGTGTGACTGAAAGACAGCAGTAAGAAGGAGCCAATGAGTAGCAGTAAAAAGGCTGCAGTAAGATGTCAGAAGCCAAGGGGAGGGGGAGAAGGAAGTGAGGGGTGGGGGCAGAAAGCGGAGACGAAAGCAGACGACAGAACATTGCTAGAGAGCAGAAAAGGAGGACAAAGGAGACATTTTTAAAGAAAATGTTTCCGTCGCTACCCGGATTCGAACCTGGGACCTTTTGTATGAGAGACCAACACCTTTGCCTTTTTGGCCACGAGAGCCCCCAAGCTCCCTCTGAAAGGTATAACACACAAATTGAAAGTTGAAGCATATTCGAATACACGCTCGGGTATCAGATTGTTAGTCATGCGCTGGAATGTTGTGCATCATTAAAAAGGATATTAAAAAATCTGTAAAATTCCTTGAGAACATCTTTTTAAAAGTTATGAAACAGGCAGCATCCTGTAGGCAGCAGTCTGGAGGAATCGTGTTTTTTTCTTTGTCTTTAAATATATGTACCATACGGTAATGTTCCTCTGTTCCTGACATACTCTAAGCATTTTTGGTGCTGGCAAGATGGAAGAAGACGACATGGATCGAAGTTTAATCTCAAGGCGATTGTTATAATATGTGTCTTCATGTGTGTCAACTTCAACGAATAACAATTATGCTGGCAAGATGGAAGAAGACGACATGGATCGAAGTTTAATCTCAAGGCGATTGTTATAATATGTGTCTTCATGTGTGTCAACTTCAACGAATAACAATTATGCTGGCAAGATGGAAGAAGACGACATGGATCGAAGTTTAATCTCAAGGCGATTGTTATAATATGTGTCTTCATGTGTTTCAACTTCAACGAATAACAATTATGTTCGGTTTAGGACTGTTGAAGCTCTTGGAGACGTGAGAATAGAAGGGTTGAGAGGAATTGTTTGTACGCAAACTGGTGCCCTGGCTGGCCCAAAGTGAAGGAGTAAGGGAATTTCGAAGTGGGCTGCAACTACTCTCCTTGCAGGTACATGTATGTCAAGAAATCATCAATAGGCTGGCCATCTTAGATCAGTGGTGCTTCGGGTTTCAGTGCAAAGTGGCCCGAATGCATCTTCCCCCTTCTTCCGAACAAGGATCGCCCTCCACAAATGAAATTGACATAGCAACTCAGCAAGTTGTGGAGAGAGACAGAGAGAGACACAGAGAGAGAGAGAGAGAGAGAGAGAGAGAGAGAGAGAGAGAGAGAGAGAGAGCATGTGCGCGTTTTTGTCTTTGCACATTTTAAGTACTGTGTTAATTCACGCATCGTTGGTGTATTCGATATCAGACCGACACTCATTCTTTGTCCATCCATTGTTTGCTTCCACATTGGAAGCCAAAACGTGTTTGAGATCAGGTAACCTAATTCAACAAACAAATGTGCCGATCTTTGAGCTCGAGTGCACCCACTCATACACATACAGGTAGTTGGTCTGTTGATTTTTTTTCTTCTTTAAAGCAAACCTCTCTACCGTCCCTCGGGTATCAGAATCGCCCACGGGTCATGATGTCATTGTACAATAATCAAGGGAGGCCAGCAGGTAAAGTTGAGTTGTGCCTCTTGAAATTTGCCTCAAAACCCACATTTTCTGTCTCTTGATGACCGGGTTCTTAGGCAGAAACCAACTCAATAAATCATATCAACTTTTTCAGAGGAATATTATCATAACAGACAGTACATGTACATAATTAAGATTAGACCAGTGACCCAAAAATTGAAATCTTAGTATGGTCTTACTCAACCATAACATGATAGTTACATAGCATGCATGTATTTTTTAAAGTAACACGTTAAAACAAGAGGGAATCCCATAGCAGTATTTCTATTGACAAATTAATCCCTCACTTAGAGATAGCGAAGCAACGTATTGAAAACCTTTATCAATGATTAGGCATGAAACTATGCACTACTCTAAAACAGTCCAGTTCGTGATGTAAAAGGAGAGCAGGGGCGGGAAACTCAAAATATAGAACCAATATAGAGACACAGGACAGAGACAGATGATTACATGGTCGCTCCTAAGTTTAAGCACAAGGGGGCTATCCCGAAAAATGCTGTTTTGAGAAAATCGAAGGTAGAGTTATTGCCCATTGTTCGGCTTCTTTAAACGACAAGGAGAGTTTTCTCTATAACCAAACACCTCTCCTAAAGGTAGGGCAATGCCCACTTTTGGTGTAGGTCAAGATTTCTGGTAACCCCCGAAATCTGGGTTAGCCCGCTTGTCCTTAAAAGCGACCACATGAGAGGCAGTGGCTTAATTTTCCTTCTTTTTTGAAAAGTTATTATTGTAGGTGTTTAACACTCCATGGCTCTTTACATCATTTAGGAACAAGACTGCATTGACCCTGCCTGCTACTTCCAGGGCCAACTCGAACTGCGGATACATCCCAGAACATAGACACTCGATTTAAAAAAACCCTCCTCAAACCAGAACTGAACTCGTGTCCTTTGCATGCGCTGTTGAGAACCTCCTAACCATTACACCAGACACCAGCAAGCCGCAAACAGTGATTTGAGATTTAAAAAGAGAGGCCTAAGATGATATTATTGATATTGGTGTATACTGTTTCAAGAGTTTTTCCCACCCTCGAGTTGAATGAACAGTGACATAAAGCTTCATTCCATCGTCCTCTGAGAAATGGCAACCTGTGCATAGCATTGATACCTTGTACTTGTACCATCGTACAAGTAGTTCCTTGAACAGAATTATATTCTCACTACATTTCTTTAACCCTATCCATACCTTGTGTTTAACTATCGTATTCACACACCATGGGGAACTCAAAGAGGAAATTTACTCATTAGTCCGATCCGTACGCTTTGCATAGCAGTCTGTAAACAAGATTTTTTGAGAAATACTGAAAGTTTTAAAGAGATCTTTGTACTAGAAGCATTCTTAAATGTGAAGAATACAACCCCGCGGGTACAAAATGACCCCAGGGCCCACGGATAGGGTTAAAACGTGAACATTGCTGTACAATAGTTGGGGTTCATGGCTTAAATTGCATGCAGGTATCAAGCATATTCACCAGCACCAGAATAATATTCTAGTCAAAATACCAGTGGATGGATACGATGGAAGGTGGTGAAGTAGCAAAGTTGCAGGTGGAATACTTTTAAACACTTACAATTCCAAAAGCTCATCATTTAGTGAAAAACCCTCCTTTAGAACGCAGAAGGTTAAAGCCACGGTGGCAGCCCAGGAAACACACTTTAAAAATTCATAGAGGTTCATCAACCATTCGGCCATCATATATCATATAGAGTGACTTTCTTTGACACTTACTTCAAGTGCAGTGGGTCTGTTAGTTGTTTTATTATGTTTAGTGTGCCTGGGCGAGTCGGCAGCGGTAATGAGCACATACTACGGTACTGTAAGTTTCAAGCCTTTAAAATACAAAAAACACTTTTATCCAGATTGCCTGTCCTCTCTTCTCAGTTATAACACAGTGGAGTATCAACGATAGTCAGTGAAAAAATATGTAAAGAATGAAGAAAAATTAAACCACAACTTTCATTTTATTTCTTTTATTTCATTAATGCAAGGTGCATTGAAGATAATACAGTTCATGAAACAAAAAACATGTACATAACACTGTCCCAGACAACCAGTGATATATGTTTCAATGCTGCTGCCCCCCCCCCCCCACACACACACACAATTTTCTCAGTAAATTCATGCAAAAACTGCATTGAAAGTACATAGAATGTAGCACTAGTAATTACACACCTATGTTTCATGTATGTCATTTGACATTAAAAAAAAAAAACCCAAGCAATGCCAAGCTTTCAACCTAAAAACACATATTATCTATGAACTTGATAATTACACTTATAATATTTCAAATTATACATGATACAAAAAAAACAACATGAAATACTTCTGAAATTATTCATCGATTTCACTCAAAATGGAAAATACCTTTCACATACCTTATTCATTAGCTGTTTAAAAGGACAAAGAAGGTTCAATAAACGAACTGCATTGTAGGCATATTTACATTCTGTTAGAATAGTAAGACACCTCAACAGACTCGCACCAAAAGCTAGCTATCTAGACTGTACATAAAGTGATATCTCTTAAAAACAATTTTTAATAATGGGACCGATAGCAGCAACATCAAAACTGAACATGACCATCATTCATTATACAGCTGTAGACATTGCCTCAAGGTTACTGTGAGCAGAGCACAACAGCTTAATTTCTAAAGGGGTACACTTATATAGCAGCCAAACTTCAGCATCAACTTCATACAAGGATAGATTTGTCCGTACAAAGAGACAACACCCCCCCCCCCCAAATTTTTTTCACTTGTCAAAATAAAAGCTTCTACAAAAATCATCATATGGCTGCACCAAAAATAAAATAAAAAATAAATAAATAAAATTGTTTGTCGATATAATGTAGAGGCATCTCACACTATACATACACAAACAGCATTCTTAGTTTAGTTTTAGTATGGTTTTACAGCGCTCGTTCCAGCCAAATGTCATTTGAGCGACAAAGGGTAGATGTCAACAGAGAAGTCTGTGTTCATACAAATATAACCGGTACCTTGAAAGCACAGCTAGTAAATTACAAAGGTACATTTCAAGAATGTCACTAAACAAGGAAAAAAATTACAAGCAATGTCCAAGTAAAGACCTGAAAACACAAATATGGACTTGGTAATTACACTTATAACATTTCATACATGATACATGGAGTAGCTCTAAAATCATTCATCATTTTCATTCGAAATGGAATATCCCCTTCGCATACATTATTCATTAATGAGTCTCAAAAATAGCAGAATATAGTATGGCATAAAAGTCTGTCTTTCAATATGTACACCAGTTCCCAGTAGAGACAGTCTACCAAGTCACCAAATACATTGTATTTTAAAATGCTGAAATTAGTGCAAGACCATAAGCCACATGGTATCATAAAACACGGCCCAAAGACCCAAATAATATAACAAAATTATATTTGTGATCCACTCTAGACACCAACTACTGGATATGGAAGCTGATCCACTTGCAATGTTTTCATTGAAAGAAGGTAGGACTGGTAGACTATCTTTAAAATATTTTACAGAATTTGAAGGAGAATGAGCTACAAAGGACATAGCTGGTGAAAAACCTAAGCTGTTTGAAACAGAATCGAATCAAACAAGCATGGAGCGATCCCAATCACACAAATACACACTGAAAGTTCATGTCACAATCTACCGTATTACCATATAGTTAATTCACTGGAGCAGTTACATAATTCTTAACAAAGAGCTGCATTATTTTCCATTATATCATTTCATTAATTTTTTTTTTTGAATTAATGTTTTCAAAAACAGTGTTTAGTATTTCCTCTATTCTAGCAATTCAGAGTCAGTATCCAAGGAGTAAAGGGTTAACATAAAAATTTGAAGAAAGGCAAGGAAAGCAGAATTAAGATTTATCTATATGGTCTCTTTGAATACTAAAATGCTCAACAAACTATTAACATGGAGAAATATCTCCTCCATAAGGAAGTTTTACTTCTGCTTGCCCTTCCCTCCTTTGCCAGCTTTGCTCTTGAACTTGGAGCCTTTGGCTGCTCCCTTCTTTGCTCCTTTGACCAGATTTGAGAACGTTCCTTTGACTTTCAACTGCTTCCTGGTGATGAAAACCAACAAAGACTTTGGATTAACAACAACTTATACTCTACTGGATTATTTCCTGTTCAATTTACAATAAACGTTCTAAAAAGGTAACTCAGCTGATAGAACTCAAAACACTCTACAAAAAGCAATAAAAAATCTGAAGCTTTAATCACAAGTTTAGTGAGTGTGTGTGTGTGTGGGGGGGGTGAATAGTAAATGGTGGTTGTTGCTGGGTTTTTAAAAAAAGTTCTTCTAAGAGTTTTACAAACATTTTGTTGTACTTATAAAATCCAGAAAGCAAATCATTATATTCTATTTCACAGGGGGAGTCAACTCATGGCCAAGAACACTTTAACTATTTTTCTGAAACTTTCTAACCTACCTGTAATTTATAAAAAAGCTCTTCATACTCATATGAAAATGCCAAAGTATTTTTTTTTGCATGTGCATCAAGAAAGAAAAACTGCTCAAAATGCCAAATGAAGAAAAACAATTCATTCACAACAAAGAAAAGAACAACTTTTGAAAAACAAAACAAACATGAACATGGCAACACAAACTTGATCTTATACAAACACCATACCTCTTGTTCAAATTGGCAATGTTGAGAGGTACATAGGCGTATGGGTCTGGCTTGCCTTTCTTTTTCATATCACCAGCAGCTTTCTGTAATGAGAACAAAGATAATTGAAAACATGAAACAAATTCCAGTACAAAACTTTAGCTACAATTATTTTGCACCTATATCTCACCGTCTCTTCAATTTTTTGGACTTGTTCTCTTGACAAGAGACTAAAACACCTTAAAATCATACTGGAAACAAAATACTGTAGCGAAGAACAATGTACCATGTTGACAGGCAATGACACTGACATCAAATACTGCCTTGGAACTTTAGTCTCATAAAGTCAGATATTAATAAAAACTTTCACAACTCAGTAAAGGCTACTATCCTGAACAGACTTCTTGGTTTTAAATATTTAAAAAAACCAAAAGAACAGAAGACCACATAGAATAAAGACATCTAAGGAAAACACTAATGTTCCTCAAAGGAAAAACTAAGAGTTTCTGGCTCTTTATAGCAAACACAGGAGCCTAATAAATACTGCCCATGAACACTTGAATCATAATTCTATCTAAAAAAGAAACATTAACATTTTTTTTTTTTGCAATGACAGGCGAAATACCCTGTAGACTTGTAAGCATTCATAACATAACTTACCTTGGACTGATACTCGGTTCCAACAACAGAGTCTGTCTCCCTTCTCTTGGCTTTGGCTATCGGCCGATGGATGCCGCTGCCTCCAGCTGTGAAACAACACAAACTTAAAATTATCAACAGACTAGACAGGAGTTTGTGAGATGTGTAATCAGGATTGGCCAGAACAGTGGATGTACTAAGGATTTGAGCTGGAAGTAATACCAATGAATGATTGCACTCATGACTGAAGTAGTGAAACACTGAAAATTCTGTAAATCTTACTTTTGATGAAACTGAAGTTTCTAAAACATGTGCGTTGTGTTGTGGACACAACCAAACAAGTCTATGGGGCATGGAGTCGGAATCCCAATACAAGCACAAGAAATAAACACAGATGTCATGATTTTTAATACAGGACTATACCTTTGTATTTGGAGGCGGATGGTTTGACATCTTCATCCTCATCCTCATCATCATCTGCAGGTCCTGTAAATTTTCGTTTCCTTGGTTTGTTCTGAAAACACAAACATTCATTGTGTGAAGGTACTGCACTGTACTAGAAAATTGTTCAGGACCAGCACAACAAAATGAAAAGACAAAGAAATGCTCTTAAAGAGACATTGCAACCAGCCTATACAGTATAAAGATATGGTCGATAAATAAGTTGAGCTCATCAGTCCTCCCAATCCCAATACTAATTGGCAGTCCCTTCTTAAAACCCTTCAGAAAAGAACAGGTGGTTTTACAATCTAGTGTAAAAAGAAATGCATCAAGTCAAGGTCAGTAAGAAATGTTTTGAGTCGTAGCATGGCACCTACTTTCTACTTTCACTAAACCCTTTAGTGATTCCAAGCATGACCGTAACTTTCTACTTTCACTCTACAACCATCAACCCCTAGCATGACTCTCACTATCAACCAGTGACTCCTCGAATGACCCTCACTATCACTCCACCCACCACTGACATCTAGAACAACCCTCACTATCACTCCACCCACCAGTGACATCTAGCATGACCTCACTACCACTCCACCCTTCAGTGACATCTAGAACAACCCTCACTATCACTCCACCCTCCAGTGACATCTAGAACAACCCTCACTATCACTCCACCCTTCAGTGACATCTAGAACAACCCTCACTATCACTCCACCCACCAGTGACATCTAGCATGACCTCAATATCACTCCACCCTCCAGTGACATCTAGAACAACCCTCACTATCACTCCACCCTTCAGTGACATCTAGAGCAACCCTCACTATCACTCCACCCTCCAGTGACTCCTCGCATGACCCTCACTATCACTCCACCCTCCAGTGACATCGAGCATGACCCTCACTATCACTCCACCCACCAGTGACTCCCAATACAACACTTACTTTCACTCCACCCTCCAAGGTGGCAAACAAATCATCCAGGTCCTCTTCAGCATCTGATCCTCCCGCTGCTCCTGATAAATAAAGCATTGAAATATATCAAGTTCTCTTTTTTTTTAAACAAACTGGTGACATACAATTTTTCACATCAGAAATCAAAGACAAAAAAATCTTGGAAGTTTCATCTTCTTGTCTCATAAGGTAAAGACAAAGACCTAAAGCCAATTTTCATTTTACACAGAAAATAAGAGAGACACAAGCACATGGAAAACATAAAAACAACCCAATGCACCGCAACTTTTTTAAAGTACTAGAGCATGATCCCCATAATACTAGCCACTGTACTACACAGTAAATGTATTTAATTTATATATTTGAAGTGTTCAAGACTCTGACCATTAGAATGTGACAGAGCTAATTGAGAAGACTTGCAATTGTCTAAGTTAAGTCTTGCACTGTAAAGCTGTACTCTGATTATTTAGGAGGAAGACATAGTACTGGAGATCAAATTTTTTAAAAGATGTATACCAACTGGCAGCTTTATGATTATAATCAGAGATGAGCCAGTCACCCCAAATGACAGATGAGAGAGATGATGATCTAAAAGACATTACTACCATTTTGAACATGAGAATTTCTACAAACTGATGGACACTAGACAAGTGGTCCATGAGAGAGTACACCTGCACAGAGACATCTCACAAATCTAAGTCACCTTTAGCATTATCCTCATCATCTTCATCCTGAGTAATGATGAGCCGACCGTCACCAGCCATCTTGAAACCTCTGTCCTTATCCATCTTTCCTTTACCATTTTGCTCTGAAGCTTTAGGTCGAGTGGCTGAAAAGAACAGAAAAAATAATTTAAAGTTGCATGTATAGGCAAGAAAATGAAAAATGCAGGCAACAACTCACATTATTTATTAGACAAGCAGCATTGCTTCCGCCAGCAAAAACTGATGATCCATTTATTGCAGTAAAAAAAACCCAGTCCCATAGTTATGCTACATACCGAAAGTAGTACATATTCTTTTAAAAACTAAACATTAACTTTACATTTAGATCAAACAAGATCCAAGTAGATGCTCTAGACAAATGCAACACTAGTAAAGGCACTGCTTTGTCACTACAGACAAATGCTTTTGTAATACCGGTCTGAAATGTATGTCCTATGGTGATGCCACATGCAGTTAATCAACAAATCATGCAACAAACATAGCTAGCAGCACTCAGCGCATGGAACAGACAACACCTTTCTGCATTTTTTGAGAGATCTTATGGGTTCACAGCTTGAAAATATTGTTACCACTGAAAAAAAAAAAAAAAAAGCATGTGGCACCTAAGCCCTCACTTTAGCTCATCAGAGGTTTACCTGCAAAAAATATATCTAAAACCGAGAGGCAACAGGACATTAACCTTCTGCTGCGACTCTTAAAAAACTGTAAAAAGTACAAGAGTTTCCAAAAGATAAACTGTACAGAACCATGGACTTCTGTGAAGTGACACAAAATTTCAACTTACTGATGACTTGCTTGGCAGCAGCTGGATCCATAAAGTCCACAATCTCGTCATCTCCCGTCTCCATGAGCCAGGCTCCTTTGCTTTGCTGCTTCTTCTTAGTCTTCTTTTTACTAAGGCTCGGGCCCTCATCCATATCATCATCCAGTTCAGAGTCTGTGTCCCGTAATAGCTCATCAATGCTGAAAAAACAACCCAAAGTAAACATGAAAATCAGCTCAAAATTAGATTTCAGACTAATGGACCATAAGCAATGCCAAATCTTGATTTGAGAACATTTATGCTTACATAAGACATTGACTTATTACTGCCAGGTTTGGCATATTGCAGGACTTCATGTATCAATGTACATTTTGCCTGTGCAGTGAGTTAATAACCTCTATTCATTACACCAATAAGAAAAAATACTTACCTTTCAGGCTGTCCGGTAACCTTGTCCTCTTCCTCGCTGTCCTCTCCCTGATCATCTTCTTCTTCTTCTTTCTCTCCAGCCTGCTTTCTTTTTGCCCTCTCTTGAGACTTGTGGATATTTTTCAACAACTTGTGGACACTCTCTTTGGTCATACTCAGAATCAGTTCATACCTGCAACCATGACAAATGTATGCTGCATTACACTGTCCATGTACATACAAAGACATACAAATACATTTGCAGACACACATGCACACAAAAATTCAGTTTATCACAAAACAAGCGCAACACTTTACTGAAACAAATTATTCTAAACACTATAAAACAATAACAGTATCCTCACTATATTTAAATTTCAAGCATTAATATATATATACCATTTCCAAATCTAAAGACTTCGTATCTTTATCATAAAGTCCATGGTCACTGGAAATCAAAACAAAGTCTAGTGATAAAATATCCGAAAATTGTTTTGGACCACATCTAACTGGAAATTGTATGAAGAATGCATTTCTGTGTGTCGGCATGAAAGTGTCCATAAAACTTGAAAAATTGCCCAAAAGTAAGCAGTGCCTTTTTACTTCACTGAGAAGATAACTGAAATTTGAGACCACGACAAATCCTCCTGCAGAGCGAAAGTACTTGTATGCAGCCTCACTGGAACCATTGCGATTTCAGTCATTCATTAATCTGCAAGCCATTCACACCTTAAAAGTGTCTCTGGAAACCCTTGACCAAAATTGAAGGACCCTATTCGTATATATAGCAAAAGCTGAATTTGCGCATGGAAATTTATAAAGTTTTTCTCAAAACTTGAGTCTTCGCCATGGCATGCTTTACAAAGAACACTGTATCTTGAAAAGTTTCAACCCTACACCTTTGAAATTTTTACAGCATGTCACAGCATGTCACAGCATGTCAGTTAACATAAATGCTTCTGCACCGACTGATGCTTTTGGTCTGAAAAATTATAAAGCGCTCAGGAGAAAAAAATTTACAACAGACAAAATGTATAGCTTTTCGGCAGTTTGGAAATTCATGAGTTGAAAAATCTGTCTTGTCATGACATATTATCAGGCTGTATGCAAAAATGTAAACTTTCTCGGGTAAGTACATTTTGTTCAAGAGTGTTCTTTGTATCTATTATAATCAAATAGGCATGTCATGAACTTTCAATAGGTTACATAATCCAAAATGAATTATGGACTTTGACCAAAACGGGAACTTGACAAAAATGACGTTATCACTGTGTCACTGGGAACATCACACAGATTTATTTTTAAAAAGTGCATAAAAAGTACTGAAACTGAAATCAGGCTCTCAGCAAAGGCCCCTCTCCTTATCACTGTAAAAGTGCATTAGAAAAATAAATAACAACAATTATAAGTAGCTAAAAGAAAATATCAGATCCTGAACATAAGACAGAACAGAGAGAAATACTTACCCAAATTTCTTGATCAACTTTACATATATAATCTTTGTCAGGCGTCTCATGTTGCCTTTCACAGCAATCTCATGGAGACCATTCAGCTAGGGAAAAAAGTAGATACAAATTTATGAAGTTCATGATTATGCCACTGACAATTAAAAAAACCAAACATTTCTCAGTCTAAATTAAAACAATACATGACATTTGACAACAAATTTTGAGGGGTTAAAAAGTAAAAAGTACTCTCAATATTAACTTTTTATTAAGATTTTGACTAAACACATACATAATTTTTTTTAAACAAAAAAAACCCCCTTCGCACATAGTTTTCTGCATTCAATAAATTCATGCTCAGTAGTTAATTATGGTAAGGGACACAATTTCAGTCAACTTATAGATTTCGTTCTCATTTTTAAAAAATCTGTTTTTAAAAGTTCATAACTTTGCTTAGCATTAGCGAGTCCATCAGGAGCAATACTATAAAAACAAATAATACATATTCTCTAAACGAAAACAGACTTCCATACTGAGAGCCTCAAACATTTTTAAATATGTTTAACATGCTGGTAGGCAGATATATAAAAAAAAGGTAACAGTTATGTTTTACTTACCAAGTCTTGCAGGTGGGCGGCTAGCACAGTGTTTTCATAAGCTGAGAGCAGGACTTTGATGAAACCAAGAGCTGTCTTGATAATTTCTCTTGTCTTTGAAGCCAGTAACAGGCAGACATTTTCAACCATGTAGTCAAGAATAGAACCAGTCAGGCGGGCTATGAAGAGGATGAAAAATACGAGACAACTTCCAAACTGGACTCTCTTTCATTGCAAAAGAATGCCAAAATTTTGTGAGAAAATTTAACAAAAAAGTATTTCTCATTCAAAGCACACATCAAAAATACAAGAGAGTGTTGAAAGGGCAAAAATAAATATTTTCAAACAAAACATAAATGAGTATTGCAATATGTACCACAAATGCAAATGTTTATAGAAACAAACTACTTGAACTCCGGAGTAGGAGTACTTAATAAGCAATCTCTACAACAAACTTCATTGGTCTCGACTACCAATAACTGGGGATTTTTTTCCTTCTGCTAGTCCCTTTGCACGTCAGTCAATGAGTAAAATAATGTTGAAACATTCAATTATAATTCAAAACAACAATATTTCAAAAGTAGAACAAATTAAAGAAATGAGTTGCCCACAGGAGAGGCAAAAATTTTTTTTTGCAAACTCACTTTGATAGTGGTAGACAACGCGGGTGATGGCTAGCAGAGTGGCGCTGATCATGTGGGGGGAACCAGCAAGTCCTGCCAACAGCTTTGTCACAAACTGCGCAAGATTGTCTGTGAGAAAATGTGCCAATATCAAAAGTTATCAACCTTTCAAAAGCTATTTACAATGGGAACACATGTGTTTAAGTACCTCAATTCATGGAAAGTAATACATGTTATCACTATAAAAAAGAAATTCACCACAACTGAAAAACAAATTCAATATTCCGTGAGCATCATATTTTTCACCGCTTCACCTAGACAGAAAAGGAGCTGTGCAAATCTCTAGAAAAAATGTTTTAAAAAAAGATCCTTTTGTAAAGTCATGGAACCATTACAAACAAATCCCAAGAAATAGGGGGGAAAACCTGAAAACATGCAAAAACTTATTACTTGATTAGATTGCTCTTCTAATTGATACAATGTTTAAAAGTCAAGATCAATTTTAAAACCACATTAAAATTTCAATATCAAAAAGATCTGAACTTAATGTAAAAGAGCACATATCAGCAGTGGTCAAGTCACCAGGCAGCAGTCAGGATGAAAAACGTACCTGATTCTGAACTGGAGGTATTCCATTTGAGGTACGTCTCTGACATCACAACAATCAATTCAAAAGCTGCAGCTCTAGCTTTGACTCCGATCTCCTTTGTGCACAAAATTGCCTAATGGATAAAAAGAAATAATATCAGTCTACTCTTTTTAACCTTGCCAGACAGTCTTGAAGTAGCATGTATGATCTAATTTTGATTGGGTGGTAGACACAAAGGAAATGGATAGCCCAAGTCGTATTCCTCTCCTTTTAGATCTTGACTTCCATGATATGCTCCAAAGGAAAGAAATGATCAATACGTTTGAAATCAAGGAAGTTGTAAGGGCATGTCTTACTATTTCACAAGTGTGATGGGAAAATTTGTTAATGGCAGGGGATATTAAAATTTTTTTAATTTTGCCAGCATGGCAGCCTAACAGCCTACTCTTCTACAATTTTCAACCATTAGGGTATCTTTAATGAGCACAAATTGCACCCAGGGCATTCGACATTTTTTTGTCCTTATCCGAGAAGACTAGGTGCTCGATCTTATCCACCTCAAGATCAGGCATGTAGAGGGAAAAAGGAGATCAAATGAGTAAGTATGATCAATACCAGCAGTTAAATTGAACTTTGAAACCCAGCAGTCTCTCAAAGCTACACTCATGAATAATGTAAGTTTCAAAGACTCTATATAGGGTTCATACATACCTTACTCAACTTTCCAAAACACAAACCATGTGACCATAGTTTTGTCTTAATTGAAAATTATAGATCTAGGTATTTGTCTATTAAAAAGAGTACAATACATAGTTTTTATATCAATCAGATTGTCAGTCACAGACAAACTGATGGAATCATCTTTCAGAGTAAAGTTAAATATCCTTGTAGTTGCACCTAAATATGTCCTTAAGTAAGAACAAATGACACACACACACACAAACACAAGGAGAGAAGTCATCTGTACGGAAAAAATTCTATCACTTAAACAGTAAGTCAAAACGGTTTGCAAAATAAGCAGTCAGAGCATCATGAGATACATCCATAAGCTTACCCTTTATAAAGTATACTAAAGCCTCCTATTAGACAGTTCTTCCAAGACAGAGAATAATATGTGTCATGAAGACCCAAGCACAATTATCAGTTGCTCACCTCAGGTAAAGTTGCCATGAAAAAGTCCATATTCTCCTCCTCCAAGTTTTTGTAGATATGGATCAGGCATCGCAAGCGAGGCTATCGGCACACATCAGGTAAACAGCGGAGAGAAGGAAGACATTAAAGAAAATCAAAACCAGATTAGCTTGGTATACAGATCCCGGGGAAAAAAGGAATTAAAAAAACAACAACAACCCAATAATGGGCAGTAACAGAGAGTAACAAAAGCAAACACACATTTCATTTTATTCTTTTTCCTTTAAATAAGAAAAAACTCAACAGGTGGTTTTTTTCAAATGACTTACTATGAAGGGCATTGTGTCCTAGAATCAAAACACAAACCTGAGAAGTTAGGGGTGAAAGTAGTAGATTAATGTCTGTGTTAAAAAACGAGCAACTGATTAATAACTGCAAAAAGTTGCGAGCTCTGTAAAACCTCTACTAAAACTAAAACTAATTGCAAAACTCACTTGGGACAGAAATTCCTGTATTTAAGACAAAATAGCGGTACAGTTATCTCAATGAACTGGGTTTTAAATACAATTCACAAGCTGTTTTACAGTTTAACAACTTTGAGTACTCACAGCTTTTGATGAAGGGCTTGACTTAGAGAGTGACTGTAGTAACATAGTGCGGATGGTATCAATGTTGGAGGACAAGAGATCCCTGGAGGCTTGTGTCTTCCCACTACATAGCTCCTCCAACACTCTGTACGACTTCTTCTGAACAGTTCTGTCCTCTGACTGTGCACAGAAAAAAAAAAGTCACATAAAGCAACCAAAACAGTTCGTAAGATTTCTTAATCTCAAGGTACATTTTCATTGAATTTCAAGTTTTACAAAATTAAACACAGTCCACATCACATGAAACTCACCTGAAGCCGAGGTAAAGACAGCTCAAACATCCGCTTCAGACCTGCAGCATCTGTATACGGGATCATTGCAATTGAGAGATCCAGAAGCGCAATGCTGTGAACAGATTATAGCGGAAGATTGCATTGATCTGTGGTGATCCATTATCAAAATAAGTAAAAACACAAATACTAAGGTTCGATAAAAAAACAAACAGATGGAACATGCACTAAGGATGTATAATGCAAAAATAAGCATGGCAAAACAAAAAATGGTACAACCGAACAACATATGGAAGGCCAGGGAAGTACCTAGAGAACTCAAACTTAGAATTTAGGAAAGTCAAATATGGCCAGTCCAAAACAGAGACAGATGGACAACTCTTCTTGGCAGTCTTTACCCAATACCACGGTGAAAGAGGCGAAATGAATGATGATATGGCTAATAGTTCTATATGGGAGTGAGGCACGAACATAAAGAAAGGTAGACAAAATCATAATCTTAAGCAGCAGAACTGTGGTTTTGGGGGAAATTGTTTCATGTCACACTGGACAGATAAAATAACAAATGAAAGGATCCTGAAAGAACTTGATAAACAGCGCAGTATGCTTTTCAAGACCTGCAAAAGAAGAATCAAGCACCTTGGTCACGCAAACAGAAACATAAAACAGTTGACAACTGTGCGGCAGGGTAAAAAATTAGTAAAGATAATCGATCCCATCCTTGCCCTCACTGCAATTGGCATCTTGGCCGTATCAACAATTCCTAAATCAGCATGCAGAGGTACGGACCAACAATGCAAACATTATCTCCTGTTGTGACTAAATATTACTAACTTGGCTATCATTAAAGCAAAGTGAGGAGAAAAGACTAGACTGAAATTTTACTGAGGTAAATTAAAAACCACTGCAACATATCGTTGAAACACTGTGCAAATTTATAAATACCACAGTAATTACAAAGGTCAAGTATATCATTTATGTGATGACTCACTTGCGGAAGGATCCGACGTTCTGCTCACTCATTTTACTGAGGGACTTGTCCAGGAAAGAAGAAATAAGCTGAGAAACAAAGCATACAATATAGTTAGAATAATAAATGAACACAGAAAGACAAAAGTAAGATACCTGACTAGAAAAGAAAGAATGCAGTCATAAAATATGACATCAATACATCTTCATTGAAAGAAGAACAAAATACATGCTATATTGTATTCAACTTATGCTTGTTGCTCATACCTAGATCGACAATGGATAACAACCGCTTCAAATCACAAATCACTTACATATTCAATTCATTCTCATATTTTGTCAAATAAAATTTGGACTCCAATTTTCAAATAAAGAGACACTAACATAGCAAATGTGTATCCATCACATATGAATAACTGGGTCAAACTTCAATCCAAAGGACCCAAGAGCATATCTAGGTGTGTGGTGGTGATAACTTAACAGACAACCCAATTGGAGCTGGGGTCTACACGTCATTTAGAGTTAGTAAGAACCAATAACTAGAGTAGAATTAAACTATACCTTTGAGTCTGAAATGACAAAGTATTTCCTGATTGTCTCGAGGACAGCAAGCCGGGTGCCTTCTGTCAGCATGCCCTCAGAGGTGAACAAGTTGAACAGGATAGGCAGGAAGTTCTTCGCAAAACGACCTACTTCTTGTTTGTCCTCCTCTAGAATAAAAGAACAGTATAAAAAAGTATATCAGTGTCTTTCATTTACTTGTATAGAAAAATGCATAAATCTCTTGGCTGTGTACATAAAGATTAACACACACTGCTATAGAATTAACACTTTATATCCTGGGGGAGAACCCACTATGCTGGGGTCCTCTTTTGGTACAAAATCTAAAAGTGACATATACATCACTAAATTGGTCATTAAACCAAACCAGTGAACCTATTTTGAGACCTGTTTTTGGCAATTGCTGTAAAGTAATTTGACGTCGAAGTCGTAAACAAACGCGTTCGAGCTGCTGCCAGGGGCTCACCAGCACAGCAGTTTCGGCTGGGAGCTGCTGGGGGCGGCTTGCCGGAAATGGGGAGTTAAATACATAAACACAACTTGGAGGACAAATTGTAGTTTACAATAATTTCACATAACTAGCACCAGCTATCAACAAAACTTAGAAAGCAGAAACATATGAGCAGAACCCATGGAAGGAGTCTAAACAGATCATACTTCAGGTATCAGAATATCACAATACTGACAGATATTTCAATAGATTTCTCCCCAAAATCAATTACTAAATTCCGTGGATAAATGAGAAAAGCAAAAACGTACCTTTGTCGAGACTGCACGTGACGATGGAACGAAGCGCACTCATCACATCCATTCGTAGATCTTCCCGATCACTCAGCGCTGTGCCCAAACTTTTGGCAATGCCTTGGAAGCTCTGAGAAGAGTAACAAGTGATTACGTACACAGGTTTAAAAGTCATTTACCTACCAAGACATAAACAATGTAACGAAACTTGCCCTTGATGCTATGAACCCAGTAACAAACCTTGCAGTTGCATCATGGCTCGGGGTGAGAGGGTGGAGATAGTAAAATTTTGAACATATATTTGTCGAAGAATTCATTAGATCTATATATAAAAACTCTAACCATGTGACAGGTTTCTTGAAGGAAGGAGACACAAAAGTTAGTCCACAATACTTTAAACTTATTTATAAAGCATACTGACAGATGAGTTTTATTGAGGAACTGCAGATCGATTCTGGCTATGGTTTTAAAACAAACAAAAAAAGTTGACCTATATCTATAATTTATTATTTATACGCTTTTAGAACACAATAGCAAAAGATATGAATAAACAAGTTTAACTAACATTAAAAAATGTAGAAGAAAAGTCAATTTCAAAATTTCTTACAGCATAAAGGACAAGTAAACATTTTATATTTCATCTTTACACTATGAATGGCAAAGATCACCAGAAAAGAAGCAATCTTACAAACCTGCTTCAAATCAGTTGGGTGATCGCAGAAACCTTTCAACAAGGACCAGATCTGGAGTTGCAGAACATCATACGCTTTAGACTCTGCCATGCGCTCTTCTTTGGACAGGTCCTCGGCTGATGGAATGGAACATAATGTATTTTAACTGACATACATATTGTATTCAAAACAATAAACACCTTATGATGCCTAATTTTTAAAAAGGACTTATATTCAAGACTGCTTTTACTCTTTCAACAAATTTTGGTGATTTCAAAAGTAAACATATTTCTTCATGTTTTTTTCTGGGAAAAAGTGCTGCATTGTATTTTAATACATTCTTTTCCAGCAAGCTGATCAAGCAAGGTCTATAACTTGTCTCCTTGGATATTAAAAACCATCAATTCAAGATGGATGAGCTTTTATTATTATTTTCTTTAAGGGACAGCACTCAGCACCTGCTTAGCAGAAGCATATTTGAGGCATCTCATTGAAATCAAAATAATAACATTAAGAAACCAACATTTTTCTGACTATTGGGCAATTTTTAAAATATAATTTTTTTGCTCAACGCCTTTTACGTGTATTTAAAAAGTGGAATTTACTGAAAAACATTGATCAAAGGCACAGAGAAGATGAATTTGTATTTTTCTAGGACACTCAAGTTTTGGAAGTTACCAAACGCTGGCCGCCATTTTCTCCCTAATTTTACCTCTGACACCAGGAAACCCCACCTCTTTCAATTACAAATATCTCGACTTCAGCTCAAGATAAATAGGTATTTTTCATCAAGTGCAAGACAGGTGAACAGGATTTAGGACAATACCAGTAAATCCACATGCTTCAAATTTGATAAGAGCCTGATTCCACTGTGTCGTGACACATATGGTAATAGACGTCCCATCCAACACAGTAAGATCAACAGTTTCATTTTTGAATGAATACACCAAAGCACGGGTTGCAAATTTCTGGGTGAAGTCTGTGACCTATTCAGTCAGTCTCGCTCACTCTGACTGTTCATCAACCACCAATTTCACAAACTAATTTCCCATCAGCTGTCTCAAAGGATTGAATTCATGAAACCAGGCACTTCTCCACCCTTTCTTGGTATCAGCTCTTTATAGAGAAATAAAGAATCTCTAATGGAGGGGCAATTCTCAATTTGTCGACATGGCCAGTGCAGTCTGCATTATCAAAAGCAGCCCTGACCAAAAATTTTTGATGGTCTACACAAAAATTCAGTCTTTGATTTAGTGGTAGTTGCTGTTTTCAGGTTGTTGTTTTTTTAGTAGAGGTCTTACGGCGCTCGCAACTGCATAAGGTTATATGAGCGCAAAGGGGTGGATGTCAACAGAGAAGTCTTTACAGAGAATTGGGCTTACTTTGCTCACCTCTCTAGCTTCAACAGCCCAAAGTCTGCTACGACTATCAAGGCACCCCGGAAATAGCGGGTCATAAGAGTGTGACAAACATACATAAGAAGTAGAGGATAATGACGATAGTAAGGATTAGGAAAGAAAAAACAGCAGTTCCCTGTTTCAGTTCAGGCACAGTTATGAGCATGACATTGTTGAATCAGCCCATTTACAATTTTACTGTGCATAAGAACGAGAAATGTCCCCCCTTTTGGAATGGCCAAAAGACACTTCAGTCAGTGGCACCGCCCCGGGGGGCAGTTTTCAGGTTGTTCCAGTTGAAGCTGCCATTGTTGTCACCAACCCAGGTGTAGTTACTGTGGTAGTAATTAATCCAGTTGCCGTTGTTATTAATTCTATAGTCAATCTAAAACAGGAGCAGGTAAAAACTACACACTGTTGGTGCAAGGCACAAAATTGAGAGAAACTGCATTGGGAAACCGAGCGCAGATACTTCAAAAGTTAAAAGACAAACACAAGAACTAGAAGTGTGAAAAGACATCGATAAACACTATACCTTTTTTCCTGAATGTAGCAGCCAGAGGCAAAAAATAGGATGTGAAAAATCCCAGCTGTGTGTGCGTTACATTGTCACGAAAGACAGGCAGCAGCCACCCTCTGGGAAAATCTGGATTATCACTGGGGAAGAAAACAAACAAAAAAGTTATCAATTGTTCTCACAGAACCCTAGTGAAAGAGGAACAAAATTTAAAAAAACAAAAACAAACCCAAATCCCCCACCCCAAAACTGAAACAAATAGAAGCAAATAACAAAGGGTAACTCTTGTTTCAAACACAAAGGCACACATGAACAAAACATCACCAACTACCACAAATATGTACCTTGAAACAAAAACTAAAGTTGAATGGTTGAATA